GCAATCCGAATAGCGATAGTTGCTGAGGGGCAGGCGTTGTTGGGATTAGATATTCATTGGGAACCCTCTACTTTCCCCATTCGGTTTTCCAGCAAACGCTTTTTAAATGTCTCTGGGCTGTTGGGGTGGATTAGTAGCTTTCCCCACTGGGATAGCTTTCTGAAAATCTCACAACCTGCGTTAACCTCAGCTCATCCTCTGGATTCTCCACTGAGAGCCGCGTTTTATTTCGTTGGGGCATCAGTTCACTGGAACCTGACTTTCCACAGCCCCGTGCTTGCACCTGGGAGCTGTTCGCGTCAGCGCTGGTCACCCCCAGCCCGGCTTGCCCCCAGAGCTCTGACCGCCTGCCTACGCTGGCCCAGAGGTCTAGCTTGGAGCAGGAACAGGGTTCCAGGCACGTGTACTGATCTCAGGGATGTGACGGGGGAGTTGCGGCGGCCTGCTTCGCTGCTGGGGAAATGTAAACTGTGCAGCGCAGAGATGTCCTGCCCTGCCCCTCACGGGCTTAGCAGCTCGTCGGCTGCCCTGCCCTGCCTGGCCGTGGTGTGACACGAGGCTGCTGCTTATGTCTGTCGTGTGGCGCTCGGGTGCTCCTGGGTGATTTGTGCCATGCTCTCAGCCTCAGACCGGGACGAAGTTCAGACTGCAGTGAAGCCATGAGAGAAAGCCGTGAATCCACCCAGCTGTGCCCCAAAGCCAAGGCATCGGCCTCCGCGCAGGACATAGGAACAGAGGTACCCAGTGACAGAGGGAAATGGTGGGGTGTCAGCTTTCAGTGAGGCTCCTGTTGCTCTGTGTGTGCGCACACGCGTGTGTGTGTGTGTGTGAGACTCCCTGAGCAGCTGTCTTTTGTCAGTTGCACAGAACAACACAAGCTGGAGAGGAAATGCCTGAAAGTCCCCTCCAGTCCGTCCCCTGAGGCAATGTAGGATTGCTCCCTCCAACACTTTCCCAAACATGCTGTCCAGCAGAGTTTTACAAGTCCCTCAGCGGCGGAGAAGACTGAGCCACAAGCAAGCAGATCTCACTGCCAGCAGGTGCGTCCTGCCACCCAGGGCTCGGACTCTGAGCACCCTGCTGGTGATGAACCGGAAAAGGCAGGAACGGACAGGACAAGGGAGACGAGGAACAGCACGTGCATCCCAGCGCGGTTCCGGGTGTGGCCCACGGAGATTTTGTTACCGCTGACCACGCGCAGGGCCTGCCCGACTCTGCTGCTCTCCACCCACGTCGTTTTTTCCTCCCAGTGTTACTAGAGCAAGGCAACGTGCAGGGCGGTGCGCGCTGATTGCGCATGACGTGGACGGCGAGAGCCGGGCGCTCCCTCTGCAGCCAGTCCCAGCGCTGCTCTGGCTCAGTCGGCACCGCCTCGCGACACAAGCGCCGTGAGCAAAACTCCCCTCTCTCGGGAGACCAGCTTGGTTCTGAGGAGCTTGTGGCCCGCGTGGGTGTAGACTATTGTGCCAGGCCAGACTCCCTGGTGACAGGGGAGCTCTAAATGCCTCTGGGGGAGGTGGAGTACCTCGGCTGACAGGAGACACTCTCTCATCGGCACGGATAACCTCTTCCCAAGGCACGGCGCCGCACAGCGGCAAGCGTACACCAGCCCAGAGCGACTGGCTTTTCCCAGTTTTTATTCCCTATGTATCTGCGATTTGCCCAGTCCTAACAGAGCCTCTCACCCTCTTCAAAGAGCATCACCCCTCGGGGCCCACAAGGTACGCTACATGATGGGCCCCCCCCCCGCTTGCGGATTGCTTGGCTCACAGAGACCACTCTGCACAGCCGGACATGGAGCGAATTCCTTTCTCTGGCGTCATGAGCATTTCAGCCCAAGCGTTTGCTTTGGAAAGCAGCTATCGGGGGATAGTAAGTTCCCAAGAATCTTGCTCTCCGACTGCAGACTTTGCAGCCTGCTGGGAGATGTTTTCAGCTCTTTGCTGGGAATGTCGAGGTGGACAAAGGACCCTACAACCGTGGAGGGATTTCTCCTGAGGGGATTCTGGCTGCAGGTGGTTGGAGCAATAGATTGAGGGTTTACATGAGGGATGTAAGATTCTGTTTAATCAGTTAACTGGTTAAATGTTATGTCTAGCTCTCAGCTCCCAGACCTGCAGGGCTGCCGGCTGCCAGCCCCTTGGCACGGTGGGCACTGGTTAACTGGTTACCAGTAAGGGTGAGGCTAACCGGTTACCCGTTCACATCCCTAATTTACATACACACCCAGCAAAGCCTGATCAATCCCCCCCCCCCATGCATTTCTAGGGGAGCTCTACTCAAAGAGTGCTTGATGTGCCACAATTAAAAAACCGAGCAAAAAGACCCATTGGGATGTTTGCTGTCTTCACCCCTTCAGGGTTTGAAATGGAAATATTATTGCCTTGAAGCTTTTTCTTCCATTTCAACCCTTACTAGTTTGTTATTGTAGGGTCTCTTCTGAGTGCCAGATTGTGGAAGGGAAATGCTGGACTCCCTCTCTGCAGAGAGACTGCCCTAGACGACACAGGCAGGCTAACTCAATGCCAGAAAGAAGTCACCAAACGGCAGGAAACGGAGAGGAGAGCACCAAAGGAGCTAAAAGGACAACACGTTAAGACGGCTGAAGGAGGGCAGGTTAGATAAGCAGTGAGGTGATACGCTCCCTATGGTGGTTGGCTTCAAAAATCAAAGTAATAGAAAATAAGCAGCCCAAGGCGTATTTAGGATCCCACCCAGCCTGTTTGTAGTTGTAGAGGGAGTTTGTACAGTTCCTGTCTCTCTGCCTTTGCTCAATGACTATCTTACATAGAAGCTTCAAAGGGGGAGCCGAGGCTTTCCTAACTGGAAAAACTTAAAAAACAACAAATAGTCTAGCAGCGCCTTACAGACTAACAAAACATGGAGATGGGATCATCTGAAGAAGTGGGTTGTACCCACAAAAGCTCATGATACCATCTACATGTTTTGTTTATCTTAAGTAGGGTTAAGTAGAGTTTCTTTTTATTTGCACTGGGCGATTTTCTATTTAATCATCAGGTGTAAAAGTAAATTCTAGTCTGATCAGCTGTTAAGGCAGCTAACTTCAGAGTACCAATAGAAAACAGGTTGCATTTCTACTTCATTTCAGTTGTAGTCACAAATCAGAACCGAAGAACTAGAAGGAAAACTTCATACAGCTCCTTAGCAGTTTGCTTTTCCAATGGTGACATGGTTTACTAGTCAGTGTGCAGGGATCTCTGAAAATCATTCAGTATCAGCAACTCTTTTTGTTTGTTTTTTTCTTAACCAGAATTACAGGCTTGTTCTTTCAACTCCTACATAGTTTGTTTTATGTTTGAACTGTGAGGTATAAGCAAACTGACCTAGCAGGAGACAAAAATACCCATAAATTAGAGCCAGCCCTGAATTATGAATGCAGAACAGAGCTTTCAAATGAAGTCATGAACAATGCCTCAGTCAGAATACATAATGATTAAATAAAAGCACAAAGTGCTGGAAATGTCTGGAAAGCACCAGTTGCTAAGGAGGGTTGGTACAGGCACTTCTGGGACACTGCCGTTTTGAAAGTGTCTTTTTTTTAAATCACATTAAGGTTATTGTTTTTAAGCCAAGCTTCAAATGTGCTGGCCCTCTAGGCTGGTGCAAGGTCATACACTGCTGGGCTCTTCAGTGCTCAGGGGTTCAGTGTTCATTGGCAGGGACCTGGAATGCATAACCATCTGCTTCCCCCCTCTTCTAGGGGCATACAATGATGTCACCCCCTCTTTAAAACAGGCCTGGCTCCTGACACAGAGGCGGATATAAATGCAAGATTCCAATTCACTGGGCAGAGCTACAGCTTACAAGGATCCAGACTCCCTCTCTGGCCCCACCACGAGAGTGGGTCTGTCAAAAGCCTCAGCCAGATCCCTGTTCTACAGGATTGTCCGGGCAGGCGGGGAGTGAGGAAAGGTGCTGAGGACAGTGCTGGATAGGGGAGGCGTCAGATACCTCGGTGTCATTTTCAGGATGAGATTTCTCCTTCCACGCAGGACCCTAGCGGTTCTCTCTCCAGTCCAGGCTGCCCAGCACTGATAACCAAAGGGACCCTGCAGTCTGCTGCCTACTTTGCTTTCAAGAGAGTCAATGATGAGTGAGTGGCCGGACTGGCTTCTGTGGCACAAGGAGTGTGGTGAGCAAGACACGAGAAGTCGTTCTTCCGCTCTGCTCTGCGCTGATTAGGCCTCAGGTGGAGGATTGTGTCCAATTCTGGGCTCCACATCTCAGGAAAGAGGTGGAGAAATTGGAGAGGATCCAGAGAAGAGCAACAAGAATGATGAAAGGTCTGGAGAACATGAGCTAGGAGGGAAGACTGAAAGAACTGGGCTTGTTTAGTTTGGAAAAGAGAAGACTGAGAGGGGACGTGATGGTGGTTTTCAAGTATCTAAAAGGGCATTTATAAGAAGGAGGGAGAAAAATTGTTCACCTTGGCCTCTGAGGATAGTACAAGAAGCAATGAGCTTAAACTGCAGCAAGGGAGGGTTAGATTGGACATTAGGGAAAACTTCCTGCCTTCAGGGTGGTGAAACACTGGAATAAATTGCCCGGGGAGGTTGTGGAATCTCCATCATTGGAGATGTTTAAGAGCAGGTTAAATGGACATCTCTCAGGGATGCTCTAGACAGTGCTGGGTCCTGCCGTGAGGGCAGGGGACTGGACTCGATGACCTCTCGAGGTCCCCTCTGGTTCTAGTGAATGTATGAATGCCATTCCCAGATCTATATGTGCCAGTCACCCCCGTCTGCAAGTGAGTTCGAGCAACTTTAATCCCTATTGCTCACACTCAAGGGAGGTTAACTGCAGACATCACAGAAAAGGACGTAAATACACAAAATACATGCGAGCACTTACACTTAAAGTCTCACGGTCCATGTTAGGCCACAGCTCCACGTGGCAGAGGATCAATGCCCCAGCGATTGATCTTCCAGGGTTCAATTTTGCAGGGCTAGCAAAGATCCCAGTTTCTAATCTGTAAAGAGAGGAGGAATAAGACATATTGACCCTCATATAAGGAACTGGAGCAAACCAAGCAAAAGGCAATTAAAATGCCTGCAAATTGTTTATGTATCTTGGGTGGAGAAAGTGGGGATCCGAGCGTGTGCCCTAGGAACACCCCATTAACAGAAATCATACTGTGACAAGTGAAGAGACAGGGGACTGGACTCGATGACCTCTCGAGGTCCCCTCTGGTTCTAGTGAATGTATGAATGCCATTCCCAGATCTATATGTGCCAGTCACCCCCGTCTGCAAGTGAGTTCGAGCAACTTTAATCCCTATTGCTCACACTCAAGGGAGGTTAACTGCAGACATCACAGAAAAGGACGTAAATACACAAAATATGTGCGAGCCAGCTTTGGAAGTGGGTCTGGCCGACGAAAGCTCATCACCTAATAAACCATCTTGTTAGTCTTTAAAGTGCTGCATAGTCCTGTCTTTTGTTACAGTGAAGAGAGACGCTTTTCAAAGGACAAATGAGAGTCAATCCCCGTCCCCCTCCTTGGAACCTGGAAAAGAACGCCACAGCCTGCCACAGTGAAATCAGCAAAATGAGCAAGGCGAGGTGGTGGTGGGTTGGCCGGCCAGCCAGCGACGCGCGATCCCATTCTGAGTGAGGGGCCAGTGGCTCCAGCGTGAATGCAGCGAAACGAAAGCTTTGTGGCGTCAGCTGGCTGCATTTCTATTACTTTAGGAAACGAGAGAGAGGCAGCCCCGGTGCGGATTGCTGTCACTGGTTCCACGGATAGAATTGTTCAGACACTTACATCTGTCTGGCACGAAAGGACGATGTTACTGAACGTTAGATTTAGGGCTAAACAAACTGGAAGATTGTTCCAAGCTTTCATGTTATGCTGATGCTACAGCGCTCCAGTCATGAGCAAGGCCTTGTTGTACAAACACAGAGCGAGAGAGTCCCTGTTCTCATGAACTTGCAATATAACTGACCGGGCGGGAGGAGAAACAGAGGCTCAGATCAAAAAAAGTGACTTAGCCAAGTCTGGTAGGAATCAAACCAGCATGCCCAATTCCCAGCCTAGTGCTTTACCCCCTGGACCAGGCTGCCTTTTGAATACTCTGACCATTCAACCTGAGTGTCTTGTTTACTCACCCGAGCAGGGTTCTTCCTCTTAGCTTCCCATAAAGAGATCTCATTTGTCCACTGTGAACTTTCCCCTTGTCTGAGGAACCCAGGAGACCCCCGTGTACCAGCTGGATTGACACTGACACCCCAGGGCACTGACGAAGACCATTTCTAACACATACATTGGGAAGATTTTATGGATTGAGCAAACTCTGGATCGGCCGTTAACGAACGTCTCCAACTCATCTCTTCCCAGATGGTCTTGCGGCCAGTGGCGCTGTGGAGATTAGCTCCCTTCCCATGGATGCACACAAGGTTTCCCTGGGGCAAGGACAGCCAATGAAGGGTGAGGGTGGGGAGCGTCTAGTGAATGTCTCCACCATGGAGTAACAGCTGAGCCAGTGCGGTGTTAGCGGCCGGCTCTCGGCGGGTCACCAGCACGTTACCTAGGGCACGTGGGCCTGAGCCTGGGGCTTTTCATGCGCGTTGTGGTTTCCTAGGGAGAGGGAGGCAGAGATGTTACGCGAGGGAACCAGAGGCGACCGTAGGCCAGTGCGCCTGGCGCGCTCCCCAGCAAGAACGAGCCCCACTGGGCTTCCCCGGTGTCGTGCTAGGCAGCAGGCAGGCAGGTTAAAGGGCCAACGGGGGGCGTGTTCCTCACTGGTCCAGGACTGCCCCGGCTCCAAGCCCCACAGGGCGCCATCTAGAAAAGGCAGGGTGGGGGCTGAAGCTCCCCCCAGATTCATAGGGGGACACTGCTTGTTCTTCTCCTTCCTCTCAGGGAGAGAGAGCAAAGCTGCGAGTGACCTGCGCTATGAGCTGCTCTCTGGCTCCCTGAGGAAAGGGAACAGCAAACAGCCTCCCTAAACAGCACCTTTGTCCCCTTGCGCTCTTTGCATCCTCACCCCCCAGACCCTGCCCTGAGCCCCTCCTCACACACCCAACCTTGACCCCGGCACCCCCCACACCCAACCCTCTTCCTGAGCCCCCACGCCCCCAAACGTGACCTGCGCTATGAGCTGCTCTCTGGCTCCCTGAGGAAAGGGAACAGCAAACAGCCTCCCTAAACAGCACCTTTGTCCCCTTGCGCTCTTTGCATCCTCACCCCCCAGACCCTGCCCTGAGCCCCTCCTCACACACCCAACCTTGACCCCGGCACCCCCCACACCCAACCCTCTTCCTGAGCCCCCACGCCCCCAAACTTCTGCTCTGACTCCTGCACCCCCATCTCCCACCTGAGCCCACTCACACGCCCCCAACCCCCTGCCCTTAGCCCCCCCATACCTGTAGCAATGTAAGTGACTTTGACCTCTGTAGCGAACGGGGGGGTGCTGGGACTTGGAATTGGCTGGAAGGTAGCGGGCCCTCTGCATGGGGATGTGACATAGAAATGCAGCACCCGGCCGCCACGGAAAAGTTTCTGCTGCTAACTTGCCTGTGCTGGACAAGATTTGCTAAGTAGAGACTTAGGTCATGTGGCCAATGGGCGTGTTAAAAAACTGGAGTCAGTGGGCTCAGCCTATGTGAAGTGGAGTGGAGTGGAGTGGAGTGGCGTGGCGTGGCGTGGCGTGGCGTGGCGGAGAAGCCCTAGAAGGGTCATTTCTGTTGCCCTATCAAGGGGCCCGGTACTGGGTGTACTACACTGTAGGGGGGGCCCAGTGTTGACTCTGTCAAGCGATGGGGCACGTACGAAGGGACTGCCCCCTGACCTGGTTTGGAGAGGCACCTGGGACTCCCGACACCTGGGAGGGCACCGACCGTACCATCGCCGGTGTCCCCGATGGTCCGGACCCTGGGGTCGCCCCTCCTCCAACCGTGACCGTCGTCAATCCTGCTCAGGCTCGCCAGGGCCCAGACGAGTGCGTGGGTGCTGCTGCTACCATTCAGGCCCAGCCCTCTTCCTCCAAGGGATGGGAGCTTGCAATGGGGGGGAGCGTCGTAAGCGTGCCTAGTGTTCCACCCCATCCACTGAGGGGGAGGACAATCTCCCTGTACCTATGGGGGTGGACGCTGGAGCTATTTCCACCCTCTGAGCCCGCGAACGCTTCACAGCACCATGAATAGTCAAGACAGAAGCAGACTGTGAGGGACTCCAAGAAGATCTCACCAAACTGAGGGATTGGGCAACAAAATGGCAAATGAAATTTAATGTGGATAAGTGTAAAGTAATGCACATTGGGAAAAATAACCCCAACTATACGTACAGTATGATGGGGGCTAATTTGGCCATGACAAATCAGGAAAGGGATCTTGGAGTTATCGTGGACAGTTCTCTGAAAACTTCCACACAGTGTACAGCGGCGGTCAAAAAGGCAAATAGGATGCTAGGAATTATTAGGAAAGGGATAGAAAATAAGACCCAGAATATCTTACTGCCCCTGTATAAAACTATGGTACGCCCACATCTTGAATACTGTGTACAGATGTGGTCTCCTCACCTCAAAAAAGATATTTTGGCCTTGGAAAGGGTTCAGAAAAGGGCAACTAAAATGATTAGGGGTTTGGAACGGGTCCCATATGAGGAGAGGCTAAAGAGACTGGGACTTTTCAGTTTAGAAAAGAGGAGACTGAGGGGGGATATGATAGAGGTCTATAAAATCATGAGTGGTGTGGAGAGGGCTGATAAAGAAAAGTTATTTATTAGTTCCCATAATAGAAGAACTAGAGGACACCAAATGAAATTAATGGGGAGCAGGTTTAAAACTAATAAAAGAAAGTTCTTCTTCACACAGCGTGTAGTCAACCTGTGGAACTCCTTGCCAGAGGAGGCTGTGAAGGCTAGGACTATAATAGAGTTTAAAGAGAAGCTAGATAATTTCATGGAGGTTAGGTCCATAAAAGGCTATTAGCCAGGGGATAAAATGGTGTCCTTGGCCTCTGTTTGTCAGAGGCTGGAGAGGGATGGCAGGAGACAAATCGCTGGATCATTGTCTTCGGTCCACCCTCTCTGGGGCACCTGGTGCTGGCCACTGTCAGTAGACAGGATACTGGGCTAGATGGACCTTTGGTCTGACCCAATACGGC